CATTACTGCCCTTCTGCTACAGATGCTCTTCAATGCGGGCAAGCCTCGCAACATCAGACGCTCTAATTTTGGAAGAATGAGCTCCTTGATGATGTCCCCTCCTTCTTCTGGATCTGATGCTATTATCTCTTCCAATTCTTCACAATTCTGGACATCAATCCGCTCAAGACTTTGGAGATACCCTAACAACTTCCAAGATGGGATGAACTTTTTTATTTTACCGCAGTTATAAAGCTCAATAGATTTAAGAGATGAAAAGGTGCCAGCTGGCGGTGGTGGGGACATGGCAATCATCTCTGCTTCAAATAGGCCTTCCAACTTGTCCAATGCATTAAGAGTCAATTTCTCGAGGGTTTGTATGGGTGGGTTTATCCAAGAGGAAAAAACGCACTCCATTCCGTAACACCACAGAATCTCGCAACTCTTCAAATATTTTGCATCTTTAATGGAATAAAAATCATTTAAGCTTCTTAGGTTGTCACAATGATGAATGAATAATCCATTTAATGAGGGTGGCAATAATATATTCTCTCCAACAATATCTATTCCACCGAATTCCACTGTGCGATAACCTCCAGGACGGCCCATAAAAGTAAAATGTCGAACTCTAAGAAAGTATCTACTCAGCTGAACTCCTCGGTCATTAACACATTTCAAAAAGATGCTCCAGTCATGCACTGTAGGGAACCTGCCATGAAAATCTTCCAGCTTCTCCAATCTCCCTATCACTTCCCCTCTTAATGCTATTCTCTCATCCACAAATAATTGTTGTAGTTTTGGGAGATTTAATAATATTGCATCATCTAATCTGCTACAATATTTTTCGTGACTCGATTTTGTAAGACTAAGATATTTGAGATTTGTACACATTTCCAGGCCTTTAGGGACTTCTTTGATTTTTGTCCAATTAAGGTCTAACTTTTTTAAAGCTCCAAACTCTGATAAAGATGGAACCTTTGTTAAGGATTGACACCATTGCAACAAGAGTGTAGTGAGATTCACCAATTTGGAAATGGACCTTGGCAAGCTCCTCAGCTGAGAATTGTGGGAAAGATCAAGAATTTTGAGCGCAGGCATATGCTCAAAGACAGATTCTGAAATTGTTGACAAATTATTGTGGGATAACAACAAAGTTGTGAGGCTTGTGCATTTTGAAGATAGGATGCTTGAAGGAATTTCTTCTATCCTATTCCACATTAATGAAACCTTTTCAAGTTCTTCCGTCCATTTTCCCTTCTCAGGTAGCTTTGTCAATGCCTTGTGAGCTTCTACCATGAACCGAGGCCTCGTTCTTGTAATTTGCAATGCCATATCCCTAACAAGATCATGCATCCTCACACAATTGCCTTCAAATCTATCTTCAATGGATTCCAACAAACAGTTGTCTTCAAGCTTCTTGAATATATAATGGCCTTGGTCCTTCGTTGCTTGTAGAGTTTCCATTTCATCTATTAGCCCCTCATCAATCCAATAATCAATTATGGAATTTATTGGGATATTGTGGTCTTCAGGATACAATGCACAACATAAAAAGCAATGCTGGATTTTTGGGTTTTTCAGACTATCATAGCTAAATTTTAATGCCCCAAATGCATCATCATCATCTGTACCTGCCACATTTCTTTTGCATTCTTTCAATTGATTTAATGCAGCACTCCACAATTGTGGCTCAGATATTCCCTTCAAGCTACCAGCAACAGTAACAATTGCCAGGGGAAGACCAGCACATTCATCTACAATCCCCTCTAAAGTTCCTTTAATGCACCCTTGATCTAATAAAACAATATCTCCAACTTTCTCCATAAACAATTGTAAAGCTTCCCTTTTTGAAAAAGTCTTCACTTTAATTATCTTACAACCCATTGTACGAGCAACCTCTTGTTTCCGTGTAGTCAATACCAACTTGCAACCATTACTTACAAATGGCTCATGAATTCCAACATCTTGCAATTTGAAGCTCAACCACACATCATCTAGAATCAGCAAGTAAGGCATGTGTCTTTCTAGCATCTTTGATAACTCCGCTGCACGTACAGTTGTATTTTGATGCTCATCAAGTTTATCTTTTCCCTTCAATTCACTTGCAATTTGTCCTTGCAATTTGTTGATATCAAAGGTTTGTGACACAGTTGCCCAAATTACTTTCTTGAATTTTGTTTCTTTCAACAACTCATTGTGGACATGCGTCATGACTGTTGTTTTCCCAACTCCACCCATTCCCCAAACTCCAAGTTTTGTCACCTCATCTCCCATCTAGCATTTTAAAATATCTGCTTTGACATCTTCACGGCCTTGTAATTCTTCTGTTGGCAATTCCACTGCCAAAACTGATAGATCATCTCTGACCAAACACCCGTTAGTGAAACCACCCCCCCTGTCATATATTTCCTTCAGTTCCTGAGCCCTTTCCTCTAGGATCTTTACTCGACAACAACATGAGAGACATCCCCAACTGTTCACTTCATCTGTAATGTCTCCTCTTGCAATAAACTTTTCTGCTTCCTCCAACCATGTTCGCACTTCCTCCTTTGCAACTTTCCCCAAGGGATGAAGCTCTGTTTCCAATCTGGTATTAATGTCATGCTTTCGAGTGCACAAGCGATCTTTGCTTACATTGAATTGTTCCAGATGATCATGGAAGTTTATCTGATATTTTAGGTATCTCACAATTGGACGACCAACAAGCTTCACAATTTCAATGATTGGTCCTACAAAGATATCCACCATAATGTAGTTGCTGCATCACATTATTTACATAAAGAACAGTCAATTCATTAAATCAAAGAATGAAACAAAAAGAGAATATTGTTATTGCATATAAATCAATAAGGATGAAATTGCACTTGGCTTAAATTGCTTGTGCTTTCTCTAAATACTTGAAATGTTGAAAGAAAAGATATGCTTGGGGAAAGGCTTCTTCACAGATATCGCAAATCTACTTCTAGCTGTTTAAAATTTTTCATTATATGCGAACAAAGTTAGAAGGTAGGAAAAAAAAAAAGGATAATAAAAAACGTAAAAGAATAGAAGAGCACACACTAGAATTTAAATAAGAGATTGTACCATATACTAAAGTTTGG